CATTTTAATCAATAACATAAAAACCATTTATTCAGTCTTACAACTGACCTTCTAGTGAAAAAGAGATTTGAATAATACGTCCATTATCATTTTATGTAGTAAGAAAAGAAAACGAGGGTGAATTCTTTTGAAAACCAACTGTGGACCAATCTAAAGGCAGGTGACTGTAGAATATCATTCTAGTATATTTACTATCATGCCTCTTTTTTTAAAGATTTTATTTATTTATTTGACAGAGAGGGAGAGAGGGAACACAGCAGGGAGAGTGTGAGAGGGAGAAGCAGGCTTCTCGCCAAGCAGAGAGCCCAATGTGGGGCTCGATGTGGGGCTCAATCCCAGGATCCTGGGATCATGACCCGAGCCGAAGGCAGACGCTTAATAGTTGACCCACCCAGGTGCCCCATATCATTCCTCTTTGAATATAACGTATCAAATCTTATCCCCATAATTATCAAAATAATGCATCCAAATGTAAAATGGAGACTTATTTATTTATTAACTTATCTGTCCATTCATTCATTTATTCCACAAACATTCTATGTTGACATGTACTATGTTAGATACCAGGAATAAAAAGGTGGAAAAAAAAAAGAGAGTCTCACCTGTGGAGGTAATAATCGAATATGCGAAAGTGAGAAAAATAAATTACTAGAAAAGTTACATAAATATAGATTTTATTTATTTTTCTGATATATATCAATATACATCAGAACAATTTTTTAAGAAAACAGTTACATGTCAATCTCATTTTTGTTCCACATACACTGTTGCTTTATTTACTTAATATTCTGATTTTCAATTCTTTCTAAATTGAAAAAATGAAAAACCTCTTAATATCAACTCATGACGCTGCTACTGGCCAAGGACATATCTCTCGGATTCGTTCATATGGATGTTAAACCATCCCAACAACCCAAGGCAATAAACATATGAAAAGTGATTGGCCACACTAATAATAGTAAAAATAGACATTAGTACAATGATAATTAAATTATAGAAATTGAAGGGATACTCTCTTCTTGTAATGTAACCATTTACCCAACTTTGAACTGATTTGCCATGTATTATGCATATTGATCCTTTATCTTATATATTGCATATTTGTTTTGGAAATGTATCTGCCCTCATACTTTATGTCAGTGTTTCCCTTTTGTGTCATGAAAAGAAAAGCAGTAAGAAATACTAAAACTCTGCCCCCACCGCCAAAAGCAAAGGCCGAGCAGAGCCTAGACTTCAACCCAAATTCAGTACCCAGGGGCCCCAAGACCTCTCCTTCCAAGATTTTTTCAAATGAAGAAAAACTAAGAGAATTTGTCACCAGTAGACATACCTTAAATGAATGGCTAATGGAGCTTCTTAGAATATCAAGAAGGGATAAAAAAACACAGCTAAAATATGAGTAAATACAATAAACTTTTCTTATGCTCTTGAATTTATTTTTGATAGTTGAAGGAAAAATACCACGTAATATGGTTCTCAATGTATGTAAAGCAAATAATTAAGGCATAAATATTGTAAGTGCAAGAGAGTAAAGACATAAAGGGATGTAAAGTTGCTACACCGGAATTAAGTCTTAATGTTGCATTTTAATAGGTCACATTTTCATCCTCAATTTTTTTTGTTCTTTTGGTTTTCTCATACATTCAGTCTCCCAAATGAATCTTAGAATAATTTAACAAATAGGTGAAATTTTAAATATTGAATTATTTTACCCTGAGATATCATTTATTTTTTGACTTGTTCAAGACTCTTTATGCCACTCACTAAAATTTTAGTCTTTTTAATAAATAAGTTACATACTTATTATAACATTTATTTCTAGATATTTGGCAATGTGTGTCACAGTGGCGAGTGGGAGACAGGCAAAGGGCTGGCCTTCTGCCATCCCTGAATCACCACAGAGAGCAACTCACATTACTATAGATGTATGAGTTCACAGGCCAAATTACGAGGCTCCCAGAGACCACATAACTATTAAAAGATGACAATGAACTCAATATATAACATCTAAAGGAGAATTTAAAAACAGATGAAATCAGAGTTTTAGCACTGGGTGTTGTCTGGAAGTGTTGAATCACTACATTGTACACCTGAAACTAATATTACACTGTATACTAACTGAAATTTAAATAAAAACTTAAAAAATATATAAAAGATAAAAATAAAAGGCTTCATGCATACATAAGAAGATAAGCAAAGATATAGCAATATAAAATAAAACAGGAAATCATGACAGTAACTAAATAGAAATACTGGGTAAGAAAAATATAATATGTCCATGAAGAACAAAACAAGTATAAAAACAGCAGGATGGTTACAACTGAAGAATTAATTAATAAGTAGAAAGATCTGGTTCCAGGTGCCTGGGTGGCTCAGTCGTCAAGCGTCTGCCTTCGGCTCAGGTCATGGTCCCGGGGTCCTGGGATTGAGCCCCGCATCAGGCTCCCTGCTCAGTGGGAAGCCCGCTTCTCCCTCTCCCACTCCCCCTGCTTGTGTTCCTTCTCTTGCTGTCTCTCTCTGTCAAATAAATAAAATCTTTAAAAAAGAAAAAAAAATCAATGTCCACGGGACGCCTGGGTGGCTCAGTTGGCTAAGCATCTGCCTTCAGCTCAGGTCATGATCCAAGGGTCCTGGGATCAAGTCCCACATCAGGCTCTTTGCTTAGTGTGGAGCCTGCTTCTCCCTCTGCCCCTCCCCGCACTCATGCTCTCTCCCTCTCTCTGACAAATAAATAAATAAAATCTTTAAAAAAACCCTCAATGTCCACATTATGACATTAGGAGATACCTGCAGTCTCAACATTAAAGTGGCTCAGAAACCCCCTGCCCAACCTCATTTCCTGCCAGACTTCTCTTCCTCCTCCTGCTTCAACGGCACTCACTCTCTTGCAGTCCTTCAATGGCCCATTCTCCTTCCCTTCTTAGCACATTCATATGAAATGGTCTTTTTCTTTCCTCCTTTCATCTAGTTAATTCCCACTCATGTTTCAGTGGAATCATCCCTTCCTCATGCAGCCCTCATTGATCTACTCAACTCAATCCTACCTCCGTGCCACAGATTCTGAGAGCATTATGCACTCCTCCTTCATAGCACTCACACTTGTAATTACATAAAGTCTTCACTAGTGTGATGACCAGATAAATATCTACCCCTCCCATTAGATACACAGAATGCAGTGCTGGGCAAGATCTGATAAACAGTACCTAGCACAGTGCCTTGCATATAGTAAGTGCTTAATAGACAACCAGAAATGGACTGCATGTGTCTACGTAGATATATTTCTGTGAAAAGGAAACAAAAGCACATTGTGTAACTAATACTAAATAAGTATGTAATTTATAGAACATCATCTGAAAATGTTCTTATTATAAAGCACCTAAAATATTTCAATTTCCTTTTCCAACTGTTGACAAGGCTCTAGAATAACTTGAATTTGGGGGAGGAAGAAAAAACTGTATCAGGAATGCAATTACTGGAATTACAGAAATGCAGTATTTAGTGTTAGGATTTTTTTCTTCCAATATCACCTTAGAGAAGTGGACAGAACCTTCAGGGTGGGTTCTATCCTCACTCATATAGTATTACCTTACTTTGTTGTTGATAGTACCTTATACTTCTCATTTTTCAATATCATCTTATGTTTCAATTACTTCAATATTTGTTCATTGTCTGTCTTTCCCACCACAATTTAAGGTCCATGAGGATGAGAGCTTTTTCCATCTTATTCACCTCTGGGTCTCCATGCCTAACACAGAGCTTGGCATAGTGTAGGTACTACAGAAGCATGTGTTTAATGAATGAATGTATATTTAATTTCAACTTGGTGAATTAAGATGCTGTGTGGAATTACTAGTACAGATGAAAATTGCCTCAAAGCTTCCCTATAAAACTTCTATTTGATTTCAGATTCATTCTCTGATACGGGTAAAAACTAATTTTAATAGGTTTAAATTATATAACTTGGTTGTCATAAACATTAAAAAACTCACCAAAAGGTATGTTCTCTAAAACAGTGAGTTACTATATTCATAGAGATAATTTTCCTAAGACATACTACAATTGTTCTAAATCTTAGGTGATACGGAAAAGAATAAGAATTATCCATAATAAGGAATAGGCCATAGAACTGAAAAAGTTAGACTCAGAATGATTCTTTCAAGGTCTTTATTATACTCTTCATAGAAAAAGCTCACTAACCCAATTAAAATTCCCAATCTATGATATTCAAGGTGATTTCCTACTTAGTGGTTGATGGCTGGTTTCTACTGTCTTTCATACTGCATTTGGTTCCTGAAGGAGAAAAGCATTCATATGGTTGAACACAGAAGAACAATGGGAAAAAATATAAATGAGGAGTCCGTAGGAAGCATCTGACAGGAAGAGGAGACAGCAAGGTCTGGAGCAAAATGTCAGTCATGAATGATGGTATCTGTCCCTTGGCACACTGCTGTTCATGAGAGTTGATAATCATTCAACGAAAACAGAAGAGCAGCATTTTATGACAAAATTATTGGACATAACTCAGTTTGCTGTCTTCCTTGAGGGGTGGGGAATAATGACAGAGAAAATAAAACAAATATATGTGTGTAAAACAGCAAATGTGTACTAATGAAGAGCAAACTTCAAGCTAAGATCCTTGTACAAATTTTTCTTCCCAAAGGGACATGTGAATAAATGTGAATAAAAAATAATATAAAATGTGAATAAAAAATCTTTCAGTTAAAAGTAATATTCTCAATTCAAATTCCTCTAAATATCAATACTCTCTAATAAACACAAAATACAAGGTATAAAGGTGCTACTACTCAGGAAAGTATATATTATTTATATATATAAAGAATGGGAGAATTTTCTTGCTTGAATAAATCACTGGATTCCCCAAAACAGGAATAATGTTTGGTATTTAACAGACAAGTCAAAAATGCCCAAACTTTTATTCTCAAAGTAAATTAATGAAATAAAAAGATACATTGAAAAAGATTACAAACTTTTTTTTTGTACTTCAGACTTTTATTAAATACCATATCACTCAGATACAATAAATTTGTCTTTATAAAACTAAGTAACTTTCTTTTGTAGTAAAAATAACCCAACTCAGTCCCTCAGCAGCACCTGAAACCCTGGGCGGAGGCTGTGCTTGCCATCCCCTCCGATGGCCTTCATTTGCGGGTACCCTGGCGGCCCATGAAACTGAGCCACCTCAGCTCCCAAATCCCTGGGCTTCAGTGTGGCCTTGGGCAAGTCAAGCCGGCTGGGTCCATCACCCTTGCTTCAAACAGCCAGGTTAAGGGGGCTTTAGAGCTACAAATACGAGGGTGAAAAAGATTACAAACTTAAGACATGAAAACAAAGATGAAAGACCATACGAGTAGAAGAATTAAGTCAATGACAAAAGAGATAAGACTAGCCATTAATTCACACAGGATAATCATGGAACACTACATCAAAAACTAATGATGTAATGTATGGTGATTAACATAACAATAAAAATTTAAAGAAAAAAATTCACACAGGATAGGAAGAAGATAAACAATGGTTTATTAATTAAAGATTAAAACCCCAACATGATAAATGAATTTATTATTTTTCTACTTATTTAACCCATATAGTGAGCATTGACTCTAAGTCAGGCATCCTTCCATTTGCTGATAAAATGTTATAATGGTAGAAATAAAACTTCAGGGTTTTTTTTTTTTGCATAAACTCAAAGGAGGCATGTTTAAATTGCTAACTACATCTTAATATTCCCTGATGCATGTGAGGACAAGTAATGAAATCTGAAATAGATATGATTCACATGAATGCTGTATTTTAATTTCAATCAATTATTAGGTTTCTCTTATATGTCATTAATTCAGCTGAGTATTGAGAAGAAAAATAAGTTATGATTTAAATGGCTCACAAATCAAAGGGAAGAAAAACACCATATATATCGCACTTCAGTGTGAGCAAATTCCATTATATTATGGAAAATGGTACAGTGCTTTGGTGGGCTTGCAGTGAGATGTAGCATCTGTGTGAAATTAGCAAGGTACATTAAAGGATGTAGCATTGGAATTGGGCCTTGAAAACTCAGCAAGAGACCACCAAGTACATAAAGTATATGAGCACATTACAAGCAAAGAATACCACATGATTAAGGGCTCTGGCATATAGAAATGTTTGAATATTTTGGGTCCTGAATAATCTAATGCAATTAGAATATCAAAAGTGAGTTAAAGACTGAAGAGTCTTTCAAGATTACACGTATAGACCAAGGTCATGTTATGGAAAGTGTCTTTAATGTCATTGTGAGAATTTAAGACCCAGTCCTATAGCCAATGGGAAGCCACTGGTAGCTGTTAAGTAATGGAGTAAACCAATGAGATTGCTTTCCTGGTCGCCTGAAACTAAGAATGAGAAATCATACAAAGACTCCTGAAAATATGAAGGTAAAACGTATAGGACCGAGTTCAGAAAATTTAGGGCTACAGAATATCTCAGAAGAAGCACATGCTTAGAGATCAGGTTCTGGATACAGATCAACTTTGGAATTTTAGTTATGTCCCTTACTAGTGTATGACTTTGGGCAGGTCTGCCCCTTTACTTTGGCCTCTCCTTCCTTAGCTGTAAAGTGATGAAGACAGCAATACTCATTCACAGTCTGTTATTTCAACCCTTTGTGATCAAAATGTGTTTTTTAATTCAGAATTTTTCAGATTTTGGGAAGACATTACAGTACACATACCCTATTTTAGGTGTATATCCAGTGAGTTTGTACTATCGATTCCATAATAAGATATCTAAGTACTTCCAAAGTAAAATATGATTATTTATGTTCAGTAGAATCAATAAAGACTAAAAAATAGCCTCTTCTTAGTTTGTGTCAAGTCTTGATGTCAAATGAGTAAAAAACATTGTTTTTAATTTTCAGAGCTTTTTAGATTTTGAATTTAAAATTGGGTAGGGAAGCATGGACCTATAGCACCCAATATGTAAGACTGAAATGATTAAAAGAGATAATATAGGTAAAGAATTTTGAAGATCACCTAGCACATAGGAAACAATCCTCTGAGGATGGGGATGGGTGTGGTGGGCATGATGGAAATGAAGAGGCAGAGATTAGGAGAATAAGGAGGTCTTGGGGTCACCATGAGGTAGAAAAGAATGTTTAGTACTTTGAGAAATAAAATGATAGACGGTAGTAATCAGAGATTAGAATTTCAGAGTTAAAGAATGCAGAATTAGAGCAATTTCAGGTAACGAAATACCTTTGGAGCAGTTGCCTGCCTGGGAAGTTTGAAGAGAGGGGAAAAGAAGAAGGAGATAAACATGTACCTGTATTTTATAAAGAAGGGATACCTTTGATAAAATTCACCAAATGCGGAGCCTGCAGTGAATGCTAGCTAAATCTTTTAGAGATGATCCATTCACATCCAGATTACCAAAGCCTCTCTTCCCCACCCCAAGAAGACATGAAGGCAGTAAGGGAAAGTGATGTGGGGTCAGACTTTTTATTCTGTCCACAAGGTGGGGACGTTGATCTAGAACAGTTGACAATGGTCAGAGATTCTGGACAGGTGGTGAGAGAGAGGTCAAGCATTTACAGCTCCTGATGTTTCTAGTTCAGGAAATTATTGCATGTGATTTGATATTTGGTCTGCTTGTATATGTGTGCATGTAGTTATATTTAGTGTGTGTGTATATATATATATATAGAGAGAGAGTATATATATATATGTGTGTGTATATATATATTTAGTTTATGTATATTTAGTATATGTGTGTGTGTGTGTGCGCGCGCATGTATGTATGTATCTTATTGGGATGACTTCCTTCATGGGAAATTCCATGTCTTATTTCTGTGTTCCTCTATCAAAGGTGCCACGTAAAGTATCTCCTATACAGAAGATGCTCAATAAATTATAAAATAATTGAACCTTTTATTTGCTTTCTTATATGTATATACTATGTATGAATTATAATATTAACATAGTAATAGCTATAATTATTCTGGGGTCTTAGATACAGTCTTATAATGCTAAAAACCCTGAAAAATACCTATTATTAATTCACTTTATAAATAAGAAAACTGAGTCTCAGTAGTTAAGAAACTTGAAGCTGAGAACACAGGGCAAGCAATTTAAGGGCAGCGCAGAGACTGAACTCAGATTTGTCTGAATCTAATGCCCATGCTTCTTGCTGTCTACTACCTGGAACTGGAGAGCTCAGCTAACAAGAGGCCATTTGTAAGACATGGTGTATGCCCCTGCTAGGCCAATTGTGTTATTTTTCTTTAAAAGGAGAACAACGCTCACTCTATAATTTATTATCTAGACATTTTAATGCTGAAATGCTAGAATAAGAACTATAAATGAAAGTCTGATTTGGTTTAGCCTTTCAATTCAATATATATATATTAAATTGAATATATGCATACATACACACACAGACATGCACACACAAAATATGAGAGCCATACTAAGGTTTAATATCATAAAAGAGCTGCATGCATCCCTTAAAGTCTTGGGCAACATCACTGAGACCCAAATGCCCATTAGTGGTGGGTTAATTACTCAGCAATAAATGGCAAGAAATTTACTAGGGAAGAATACTACGTGTAAGGAATAATTATTGCATTTATTTACTCCTGGTTTTGTTCCAGAGATTAGAAATGGAGATGTTAGAGTATAACATGATAAAACTAAGTGATAATATTGTGGTTAAGAAAAAACTTATGGTACAAATTAAGCAGATCCTAGTACACTGACCTAGATGTCGGCCACTGACATTCCTCGTGGCCACATTCATTAGTGAAAAGCTGCAAATAGACAAACACACACACACACTGAAAAGAGAAACGTAATTAGAAAAGTATTAAGTGAATATATTAAAAGAATAAAAATGATAGAAAGTTCTATCCATAAATTTGAGATGCCAACGTTTCTTCTCATTTATCAAAGACCGAAAATTCCAAAACTGCCCGTGGGCTTTGCAGAAAAACAAGTGACGCCTTCCATGAGACTTGGATGCTTTTTCTTGGTATTTCCCACCCCTTAAATCACACGGTTGGTGACAGAGAAACTACAATCTCGCAATGCATTCAAATCTGACTCAAGTATATTTATTTTGAGCTCAATGGAGTGTAACAAAAATAACCCAGTTCTTTACTAATTAGACATGTTTTTAACCACCATGAGCCTCCCTTTCTTTATGTGAAAAATGAAAACTGTCATATTTACTCTGTCTTTTGTGAGAATCAGAGATTGAGCATTTAAAGCTGCTAACACAATGTCTGGCGTGTAGGACACACGAACATTTTACCAGTATCTTCATGCATGAATATTTAACATTATTAGTAGTACATTAAAAATTAAATCATAATTATTTAAACAATGTCATCCCTCATCCAGTGAGGGATTTTTTTCCAGTGAGATGTTTTGGGAGAGAGATAAAGAAAAATAAAAGTGAGAACAACAAATAAATATAAATATGTAAATATGAGATATATAAATCTCTTCATTCTCAAGGATTAGATTAGTGCCCCAGCATTCCTGGGGGGAGGGGAGACTCGGGAATGAGTTGGTACTTGGCACTCAAAGGACACTCTAAGGACAAAATGGTTACCCCACCATCATCCTACTGCACGATGCCCTGGACCACAGACCACAGAGGTCTGCACATTTGTCCTGTCAAGAAGTAGAGCCAAATGTCTGCTGGAGATCTTTTCCCTCTTACTTCCTTCTGCAGTTCTAATCATCTCAGGGGCATGCATGCAGCTCTTTTAATACAAGAGACAGAAGAGGCACAGGGTCCTTCGCTTCTGCTGATGCTTGCAGCTCACTATAGTCTGCTAAGAACAGTCATAACCTCCCTCTGATGGCACATTCATTGGGATCCAGTGAAAACATATATATGTGTAGGCAGGTATACACACACCTGTACACACAGACATGTGTATGTATATGTACTATGCCATGTTTATATACACACATACATATATCCACCAGAACATTTTCCTTGCTACTGCTCCCCGAGAGCCATTCTCTTTAAGGGAGAAATCATGAGTAACAGGTGAAGACCAAACTGAGCTGAAATTAAAATAAGCCACTAAGATTCTATTATGGAGGCTAAGACTGGTATTTTTAAGGACCAATAAAAAGAGTGGGAGTTTACACTGTCATTTAACAGCTGTCTTAGGGCAGATCACCATTGCCTTGGAAAACCACTCTGGCAGATGAAGAAAGGGAAGACATAGCCCCTCATCAACTTTTAATGATGTGATTAATATACAACTACAATGTTTAAAAAGACAAACCCCAAAGTAATTCATGCAAACCATTAATATCTTTTTGGAAAGTGGCCCCCATGTTTCAACCCTACCCTGTTCCCCTTTGTTGCATTTTTTTTCACTCCTGGAATCTCTTGATATCCAGTTTTACAGAGCCACCCATTTTCACCTACACCCCCCAAATTTTCTGGTATCTGATGCTAATCTGTTTGTTGGCATCTGCTGCTAAGCAAACTCAGCTCAGATTTTTATCACTTTTGGACAACGGCCACTTCAAGACTTAGAGAGCATGAACTCATGATTTTTATGGCAAATGTTAATACTTAATACCAAACACAACTGAAGGAGTTTCTGAATACAAAATCAGGTAATAGTGAATTGTCCATTTCACAAAAGCAACAAATCCATTTCTATAATATTTTAATTGTATACTGATAATGACTTTAGCTTTGATTTTTGAAATGTCCCTGTAAAGAGGCAGATCTCATAGTAATGTATGTTTGTGTGAAGGACAATCAGTAATATCTCTTTAGTACCGCTTGAGCTGAAATCAGTTAAGATTACAGTAAGAAACAATTGGCATAATTCCAGAAATGTGAGCTGGATTTCCACACTCTTGGTTCAATTCATTTAATTAAATATATATTTCAAACACACTGGCTTTTTCTTTGCTCTATTTTAGATTCTACATGTTACATCAATCTCTTCTTTGGTTCATTTATATTTTTACATGTCATCCCTAATTAGATCAATGTTTCACATAAATGATTCACATGACATAATCATCTCCTTTCGTTCTTGTGATATTTGTCAGCCTCTTCCTATGTCACACTGTGTTCATTGGTAGGATGGCTGTCCTTATGCTGACTGAAATCAGATTCCCTGCTGTGTCCTGGCCTTCATGAACAGCAGAAGGAAGTGCTTCAGGGTGACATGCAGCTGCCAATTATACAAGTCTCCTTTCAGCTTTGTCAATAGTTAGGTTCTGGGCATCACGTGCGGAAGGAATGCATAACCTTCCTTCCATGGCCCCAATCCATTGATTTCTCCTCTCTTCCTTCTTGGCAGCAGGGTCAGTTGGTTGTCTCATGTCTTTATATGGATGACGACCTGCCATGGGGGTTTCTCAATACTCTGGTATTCTTCTGTGGGTACTCAAAGTGACACCTGTCCTACATTTCATGCAAGCAGGACACTAATGATTTAATGCATTTAGTCTAAACACTGATATCATCATTTGCATAGAGTACTTCATTCTACGGTGTTTGTTTTTGGTCATTTTTGTTTCATATTAACTTTAAATCCTAATATTCCTAAATCATGGTTATTTGAGTTAAAATAGACTACCTTAAAGATAGTAGAAATAATTATTATGATATTTGTTCATAGAGTTGTAAAGTTCTGTCTCCAAAGAAACAGATTTGGAGTAAAACTTAGTAAACAGGATTGCATTTTACCATGGAATGGCAAGAGTACAAAATAGGTAGACCTATGCCTTTTGGAACAATATAAACAATTACCACCTTATAAAATCTACTAAGCCACATTTAGCTGAACCTCATATAGCAATCACTAGGCTTCACAAAACTTCTTCAATTGGAATAAGCACAGTATTTTCTGGCTGAATCCCTCATTCTTTCCATCCTGAGGGGCCTCTTGCAACCTGACAGCATAACCCAGCAGCCACTGAATATAGAGTAAGCCCTGCAAGGGCTTGAGAAGCTCATCTGGGACCACACTGCCTGGGAGATGATTAGTTATGATCATGATAAGTGAGGGAAAATCCTGGTTAATGATGGAATTGCCCTAAAGTGGAACCAGAAAGAAGAGTGCAAACCCAAACTACTTCTCTTGGGGGTATACTTGAAGCACAAGAGTGAAAAATGAGAATGCTATCATTATTCCACACTTTGCATTTCTCACAGAAATTTCCAGCCCAATTAGTGAGGCTTCATAAATGTCCCACATTGGAGGGAAAATGAAAACTCAGGCAAATAAACTTTAGGAAGGAATTCTAGACAGGAAATGAAATCTGGCTTAGAAGATTATATAATGTAGTTAATTATTCTACATTGTTCCCATAAACCATAGATCCAGAGTTTTACATCCCATCATCAGGTATAAAAATGCAATTCTCTTTTGTTAAATTTCAGTCTAACTCTGTGTCTTTGGAGCCAGAAAGCAATTACCACTTTATGCACAAATATTATGGGGTAATAATTATCTTCATCATTCTTAAATTCTAACATGTTATCTCATAAGCCTTCAGGTTTTAATTCATGACTTCTCCAAATATTGTAGGTCTTCTGGTTGTAGTCTACATGTTGCTATGTTTATTTTTTATACGTGACATTTTTAATATCTAAGAGATATTTATCTTGCTAATACTTTTATTATTGTTTTGTTTGAAATTCATTTCTCATGCATTGATTACTATGTTCTGGCGTAAGAGTATTTTATTGATCATAAAATTGCAAAGATATTGCATAGTGGCATTCCATCTCAGGGCTTCAGAGTCAATTTTACTGAATATTATTAGTGCTAATATGAGGTTAGAAAAAGAATGTAAACGGGGCAGAGCTCACATAGAATCAGTAAGATTTCTTTAAAGGTTAAAGAAATGGATTTTCCTTCTCAAAATCTCTTCCTGGAAGAAATGCTGTTTTTCTGCACCAGTATCTTTACCAGGCTTCCAGAGGATTTTGTTCACTATTGGGATCATTCACTGTTCTTTGTTGTATTTTAATTATTTTTTGTTACATCATCAAAGGCAATTTGTTACAGATGGGTCCAGTCATAGGCTCCTTCCATCCTTCTTCTTGGCACAAACACATTAACTTTGGCTCTGGTCTTTGAAATCCCTGTAACTAAGCCAAACTTTCTACATGTCTTTCAAGTTAAGAGTTTTAACCCTGTCCTGTTTTGAAAGAAAGAAAAGAAGATGCAATAACAGTCTGCCTTTGAAGACTGGGAGGAATATGATGAATTATAAAAATCTTCTTTGTGTATATCTGACAAGCCAACACTCTGAGAGTGGAAAAAAATCAGTGCTATTTCTAACCATATTAATTTGAGAGGGAAATACAGGATATATTAACTAGGGCAGCAACTAATCACTGCTGCATTTGGTCAAATTTGCAATGATAAAATGTGTTTCTTTCTTATGCTCTTCAGTGTGTAAAGCTTTTAAACATTCTCTAACTCTGGAGTAATTATTCAGGGACAGAGTTATTATAAGACTTTGGTGTCTGTAATGTCTTGTACTTATTTCACTGTGGCCTCTAACCAAGAATTAGAAGTGCCCTCTTTAAAGATTATCTTGTCCCACAAAGACCCCAAGTGAATTAGGTATTACTTGTTATTTCTTATTTAAGTCAGTGAGTTTCTCTGCATATCTCCAAAGCCATCATTATAATGTCAGTGGTTGGAATCAGAGTGCATTAGAGAGCCAGGGTTCAAATCCTGGTTCTCATTAGCAGAATATCTGCAATATAGTGTGTCGCAAATTCCAGGTTTAAAACACACATACACACATGAATGTGTGTGAGCGCACGTGCGCGCGCGCGCACACACACACACACCCACCAAAATATCTATAGTGACAGAAAAAGACAAGAGTTATTATTGTTTTGACAGATTTAGAAAAGAAATTCCTTTGAGACAGATGATAAAAGCACAAGATCTTTCCCATTAGCTTAGCTACTGTGTCCCACCTATCTTTGGTAAGATTTACCTTCATCTCTGAGAGTCCATGGACCAATAGATAGAGTCCTTCTCTAAGTGTAACAGAGGGTACTCAGGTGAATTATGTGAGCAAATAAAAATGAATAAAAAATGAAAGAAAAGTAGCCCCCTCTTTTTTTTTTTGACAAAACTGAATGTACACATTTGATGCTGGTAATGAAGATGATTTCACAGCCCTGTATACTTTGTAGTTTCTCATAGGAGAGATTTTGTGAGCCCCTTTGGGGATATCACTGCCCCCTTTGCATTATATTTGTTGTTTAAATCTTCATCCCTGAAAATTTCTGCAAAGAAAATGTGTTCTTTTGTTTTACTTTTTATTGTTATCCAATATGGATGGCAAAGATCCACTCCAGGCAAAGAGAATAAATACAGAGAAAACTGTAAGAGAAACAATAATAATAGGGCTTTAAAAAACATTTCTAGCTGAAACTTGATGAAATGACCTGTAACCCAGACTATGGTTCACTGATGAGCATTAGTTAAATATAGAGATGACTTTGAAGGAAACTTATTCGTTTCTTTTTCAAGAAAACAGTGATTCCACAAATAAGATATCATGGAAAGAAATATGTGGTAGCTCTTCTTTCGGCAGATAACTTTTATCTTTACATTTAATAGAGGGCAAGGAAAATAACACCTCACTTTAGGTCTTCTTCTTGTTTTTCCCTTCCTACTAACAGCATTGTATTTAGTCCATTGATTCATTCAGTAAACATTCATCATGCCTGGCTCTAGGCCTATGGATAAGAAAAGCTCACTGTCTTCAGGAGCTCAGAGACTGTGAGAGAAGATATAAATATAATATATAATATAAAATATGACAACCACTACAATTGAAGTATGAGCAAAATGCAAAGGCCACCTGTCTTTGGCTGGAATATTTCATGGAAGTGGCAATACTGAAGTGGTTTTGAAGAATAAGAGGGATTTTTTTTCTTATTGAAAATAAGGAAGATCATTCCAAAAGGACCATGCATAAAGCTATGAAAATCACAAAGGAACATGCATTACTGAGGGAAATGTAAGCATTAATAGACCAGAGTGGCTAGAGTATAGACCATGTGGGACTCCGCTGGCAGTGGAGGGAGGTGGGAAAATAAAGCAGCTAGCTGGAGAAGGTTGTGCATATTGAAACCATTTGAGTTCATCCTCGAGGGTAACAGGAGTCTGCCAAATGATCTTGAATAATGAAGTGAAATGATCACATATGTGTTTCAGAATCCTACTTTTTGTGGATTGATAAAGGAGGCAAAAGAGACAGAGAACGCTAACCTAGCTGGTAAACGACTTGTGAAGATAGAATGTTAGAGAGGCCAATCGCAAGGTTTCTGTGGGATGAGGGCCTGAACTAAGATGCTGGCCATAAGAAAGGAGGAAATCATAAGAGGTTTATGGGTTAAACTGGTGGAAAATCATGATCAATTTATTTTGAGAAAGGAAATATATAATTTTTTTCTTACATTTATGGGTAAGAAGACATTCTCTATATGACTCTGAAAAGAAGCTTTTCATCATGTTTAACATATAGAATATGACAAGTCTTCATTCTGCAGTAATTTCAGTAATCAGAAATGTACCCAAGGAAGGCCACATATGACCATACCAGTGTAGCTACCATCCTACTCTGGAATTATTCTCAGTGATAGTAAACAACTTGGACATCATGGAAGGCACTAGAAACCAACATTATAATTTTACCACATGTTAGACATTATAGTGGGTGTTGGAGTGTATTCAAAGAACAAAACCTTAACCCTAGCCTCCAAAATGCTTATGCTAAAATTCCAAAGAAAATATAAAACATACCTAAGAAATAGTGAATTATGTTGAAAATTATAAACTTTGTTTTATTTTATTTTTAGTTTGGAATCTTCTAAACTATGACATTAATGTTTGAAAGCAATGCATATGTGTGTATAGGGGTGGTAGTGTGTATTTTATCCATCTATATTATCTAGCTAGCTGAATAGATCTCTCTCTTAAGCACTGATATTATGATAGTTTATCAGCACATAGTTATCTATGGAAGATCTACATTTATCCTAAGTCTTTGCATCATTTGTGATGATGACATTCATGGGTTCATGAATATAAAATTGCCAAGATCTCTCTTAGGTGAAACTATTTGCCTTAAGAGAAATTAATCCAGAGGGCAGAGGTCTTTGCATGTATGTGTTTGCTGTTGTAAACCCAAGGCCAGGAACGCTATAGGTACTTGGTAAACATTTGTTGAAAGACAAGGAAATAATATTAAAATGACACCACATATTTATATGATGTGATTTGTAATGTAATACATATGTCTGTCTGTCTGTCTATCTATCTACCTATCTATCGATTGATCATAACTTTGAATTGAGAACCCCACACTCTACACTGTGGTGAAGAAATGAATAAAAATAGCAGTAAAAATAACTGCACAAGTTATAAATGAGAAGGAATGGTGTCCATCTAGGAAAAGCATTTTTTATTCATTTAAGCCCATTCATGAAAGCATATCCTTTTGAAAATGTTACATTTGAAAACGTTACATGTGCTTAAGACATAGTTTTAGATATTTTTGCTTATGTAAATTATTATAAAGGTTAATTAACAACTGTACTTACAAGTAAATTTGTTTCATCGCCTAGAGCAAAGACTGAATTTATTTCACAGAGTTTATTCCTCCTGCCATATTGATACATTAATTGAATTCAATGAGTATTAAGCACCAAATAGCTCCTTCTTCTTGTGTTATATGTCATGACAAATATAAAGGTGTGAAATACAATTTCAAAACTGAGTACTTACAACCACTCTGGGGAAGATAAATCATGCATACATGAAGCTATTTTAAAAATAAGGGAGCAGTAAAGCATGCACCAAAATCAAAGTTTAATTTGGATATATTAAACTTACGGAAATTAAATTCATTAGACAATCTGATGTGAGACAAGGAAT